CCAGGGAGAGTACGGGCATGCTTTGACATGCGTTTTGGGAGATGTCGAAAGTTTTGGAGGTCGCAGGACGTCCTTGAAACATTCTCGGGTCGTTATAACCGTTTCGAAGGCGAAGCGCCGGTTGGTGATTGAAAAGCCGCTTCATAGAGTCTTGTCATAATGACACATGTTTCTATAGAATCGAACCGTTTTGCGGTTGGTCAAGTAGTTAATGATGACTATTGAAATTCGTGAAAGCCACTTGTGTTGCTTATAAATAAGGGTTTGAGGCATTTGTCTCTCACTTTTTCGTAATTTGTCTAAGAGAGATCTCTGAAGAAATTTCCTTTCTTTGTCAGTTCATCTTTGCTCTTGCTCTTCGGTTGTCGTAATCTTCACTTTTCTTCGTTGATTTTTATTCCTTTCTGATTTATTGATCAAAAATGGCAAGCGGTTCTTCCAAAAATATTGCTCAGGCAAGTCTTCCGGCCAACCCTACGGTGGTGGAAGAGCCTTCTCCGGTAGTGAGAGGTGTAGGACCGGTGGAGACCGATGGGGCTCCATCGGTGGAAGAGATTCTATCTTTGCCCGAAGGCGCGGCGACTGACTTCACCGACGATGGGGGCGAGGATCAAGTGGATGAAGCCCCATTGATAGGGAAAGTGGGTATTACCCAGTTATGGGAACAATGGGATATCCCCCGCTATGCTGATATTGTCCTTGCTAGAAGCGAGGAGAGGGTCCACGTCGACCGTAGAGGGTATTGCGTTTTCTACGCTTATCCTTTCAAATTGGGATTCAGGCTCCCTCTCCCGATGTTGGTGGTGGACTTCTGCCATCATTATAGGGTGTGCCCTGGCCAGCTCGTTCCTTCCCTTTACAAGCTTTTTGCAATGCTTATTAAATATGCGAAACTGGCCCGAAGGGAGATCGCGCTGCAGCACGTGCTGACTCTCTACGCCCCTCAGAGGGTCCGTGGTACTATGATTCGGGTGGTCCCTCGTGGGACGAAGGGTTTGACTGCAGAGTTAGACGACATGGTCGACTCTCGCCCTTATGAGAATTTCTTCTATATCAGGACTGAACATTTGGTGGCGTGTGCTACTGAGTTCCTAGAGGCTTGGAACCATGCACGTAAGTCCTTTATTCGTCGAATTCCATTTTTCGTCCCTCCTTACGTCTTGTCTTTATAAGTATTAAATTGCTTCATGTCTGCAGCGGGAAGGCCGCCTCTAGCTCCGCTGCTCGAGATTCGTGCATGGGTTGAGGCCGTGTTTCCTTATACAGCGAGAATTCGTACATAGGCGTCTTTTTGGGAAAGGAATGGCCGTAGGCCCGCTGCTGGTAAGAGTTTGACTTTCTTTTGTCCCGTTCCTATTTTATTCCATTTTGCCTCTTCTTTTCAACTTTGTTTTTTTGTGATCAGGGAGGGCACGCCGTGTGAGGGCTCCTCAGCTAGCCTTCTGTAGGCCGGGCGCGACTACTCAACTTGTTGCGATTCCGGAGCCGCTTTCGGTTCCGAGAGCGACGTCGGTTGAATCTTCGGCAGCTCATTCACTGATACGGACTGCACCTCGAGTCGAAGAGTCCTCGGGGTCGTACGTCCTCGGGCAGAGTCGCTTTTGAATGAGGATGAGGAGGAAGAGCAGAGGCCGCTGGTCAAGCATAGGGTCGCATTTACGCTGGCTCCTCCAGAGGTGATAAGTTTGGATTCTCCTCCATCAGATGCGGAGGGAAATGCGGCGGCGGCGCCTGCCCTTGAGGGCGGATGCACAGTGGGGGTTGCCCCAGTTGGCTCAGGCCGTAATGATACCGTCGCTTCGGTGACTCATTTGACAGTTCCAGTTGCTGAGAGGGGAGGTAGTTCCTCAGCAATTATTTTGGTTGGAGAAACAAGTGCCAATTTGTTGGCGGGGGCGGGAGCCTCAACTTCTCGGTCGGTGGAGGGAGGAAGGGGCGTCGCAGGAGAGGAGTATGAATCCGAGTCTGACTTGGATCCCGACGACGTCCGCATGTTTCAAGAAGGCCTCACCAACTCAATGGTGCATGCAGAGGGGCGGTTTCGCTATGTTGAGATTCCTACAGAGCAGAACTTGCTGCTTCAAAAGGAAAACTTGGTGCCGCTGTTCGAGGTGCTGTGCTCGGAGGTAGAAAACGCGTCGTTGAGGGGCATTACGGACGTCGGGCTGATGGGTAAAGTGGCCACACTAGGCTTGAAGGTACGTGTAATGACCTTAGTCCGTTTTTCTTTTACTTAGCTTATTCCCTTGTTTTGATTATTGTTTTGTTCTTGTAGTCATTTTTGTTGGAGGTGGAGAGCATTCGCCGAGCTAACGTTTGCTTAGGGATCTTTTTGCAGGCACTGGAGAAGTACCGCCTCTACCGGGATCGGTGCCGCGAGATGTGCGAGCGCCTGAGGACGATCCTCGGAGCAGGGACTTGGTCGAAGAGCTGGCGAGGCGAGAGCTTCAAATGCAGCAGACCCTTGACTGGGTGAACACTCTTGAGGGGCAGCTTCGTCAGAAAGACGAGGAGATGGAGACCGAAAGGAGGGCTGCCGCAGAGAGGGAACGCCAGAGTTAGGTAACGGCGGCCGAGGCCTTTGAGGCTTTGACTGGGCAGGTGGTTGCTTTGGAGACCGAGTCATCGCCTTGAGGCTGCAAGCAAGGGATGCCTCATCGAGGGCTGGGGCATTGGACGCGGCGATCCGTTGTTCACGAAAATGAACGAGAGCTGGAGAGAGTTGCTGCGACTTTTTGAGAGGCGGGGTTAGAGGAACACATAGGTGCCTATGAACTGGACGCCCAATTTATGGCGGATCAGATCACGACCTTGGAGGCCGAGAATCAGCACCTAAGGGACCAAGCCACCTCTTTCGGCCCAGATCGTGATCTTTGGATGTTTACTGAGGCCCATCTTGATGTGTATAAGAGATTGTGGGAGGCCGACATTGTGCTTGAAGTTGCTTTTGAAGAAGCCCGCCAAAAGGCTCGTGAGGCCCATCTCGACTATGGATTTGACCCAGCTACTCCAGGGGTTGATGATGGTGCTGAGGGCGCTGATGATGTTGATGGTGGCGCGGGTGGCGCCGAGTCAAAAAGGATTTGTTATGTTTTTTTTCTTGTTTTCATTGCCGTTTGGCTAATTTTTTTTTGTTGTTGTTCCTTTTTTTTCTTTCTCTCTTATTTACCGGCCTTGGCCGGGTGTAAGCGGGGATGACCCGTTGTAAACAAAGATGTAAATATATGCAACTTTATTTTCCTCTATCTTTCTTGTGTTTATTTTGTACCTTTCTTGTTCCCAAGTTTTCCTTTTTGCACGCGTTCAGGGGGGGCTTTGCCTCAGAGTTTTTCTGGCAGACGTGTTAATCCCCCTATGTCTTTGGTCGTAATGATGTCGATGGCCTTGACCGTGATGACGTTGATGGCCTTGGCCAAGTAGGTGACTTCGACTGTTGTCGAGTCGTTTGCTTGCCTTAGTCAAAAACTAGGTTGGATGTTAACAGCGATGGCCTTGGACATGATTAAATGCTTTTTGTTTATCGTTTTCTTTTACTTGGTGTGAGCAAGTTGTAGCCATTATTTGGCGATAGCGGCATTTGGCCTTATTGTATCCCTTCTTTGGCGACAATGGCACTTAGATTTAGTCCCAGTTCGGGCGTGGTCGAAATACTGGTCACGATGGTAAGGAATGCGGCCTTGTAGTTCTACTAGGGCCGAACTTTACGCGGCCCGAATCTTAGTTCGAGTTAGGCGTACTTAATTGAATGGCGAGGGTGCTTAACTTGTCTCTCCGTCCGTTGAGGAACATGCCTTGCTGCATTCAACGGTGAAGGTGTTTGGCCTGAGCCCTAGTTCAACTATGGTCAGACTTGTTAGATTTGCGGACGAAGATGTCTGGCCTCATTGTTGAGCGAGATTGAGCTCGTAGGATTGGATGGCGAAAGCGTATATCTTGAGCCTTTGTTCGATGTAGTCGAATTTACCGGCGAAGGCGCATGGCCTGTCTTGGTTCAACCGTGGTTGAACTCGTAATTTTTGATGGCGAAAGCACATATCCTGAGTCCCAGTTCAACTTGTAGTTGAACTTTTTTGGGCGAAGGCGCATGGCCTGAGTTCCGGTTCAACCGTAGTTGAACTTGTAGTTTTTGATGGCGAAGGCGCATGGCCTGTCTTGGTTCAACCGTGGTTGAATTTGTAATTTTTGATGGCGAAGGCGCATGGCCTGTCTTGGTTCAACCATGGTTGAACTCGTAATTTTTGATGGCGAAGGCACATGGCCTGTCTTGGTTCAACCGTGGTTGAATTTGTAATTTTTGATGGCGAAGGCACATAGCCTGAGTCCCAGTTCAACTTGTAGTTGAACTTTTTGGGCGAAGGCTTATGGCCTGAGTTCTGATTCAACCGTAGTTGAACTTTTTGTCGAACTTGTTCCTTCTGCATGACCCGCTGCCATGGGGTGGAATGCTAGAGATCGGTTTTGATTCAGGATTTCGTACGACTCATGCGCTGCTTTCTTTACTAGGGTGTGTTCGTGTTACCCCGAGATGGTTCTCAATTTGAGATGTTTTTGTGCCGTTTTTCGGCAGGATCTTGCATCAGAGACATGGCTGTACCTTATACATATTCTTCCCGAAGGGGGGGGGGGTTACTTCTTCTTCTTCTTCTTCTTCTTGCACCTACTTGAGGATGGATGGGTGGGGGGCTCAGGTTCTAGTTGAAGCCTTTGGGTTCCCTCTACCCGATATGTTGCTTTGACTCGTTCGAGCTGGGTTGCTTTCCTTTTCTGGCGTCTCTTTCCTTTTGGTCCGAGGAAGAACTACGTGATTCTGCTATGAAATCCCCACAGACGGCACCAAATTGTTTAGCTCAAAGTTATCATACACTTTATAAGCATAAAATAATCGAAATAAACCAAGGGCCAATCATAGCAGATCGTAATAAATCAAATGACCAAGCGAAAGAAACGAACAACAAGTATTTGGAAACAAGGAGAAATGTGTAAAGAACTTTTATTGATGATATTAATTTGGTCTGCCTCTCCATAGAGAGGTTCAGAGCCTTACAATGGTGTTGCTTTTTTCCCACCATATGGGTATTGTTATCTGTTCTCCCTCTACTCTCCCTCTACTGGGAATCGTGGTGAAGAAGAAGAAGTAGCCCTCTTCTAGGGTTCTTTCTCTTAGTATTTATAGCTGCAAGCGGAATAAGCTGGCGATAAAAGATGGTCGTATCTATGTTGGAGTTCCCTCTTCAAGAGGATAGACAGGCCGTGGCCGTGTTGGTCGAACCAAATAAGAATCAAACATTATTAATGATTAATGGCCGTACCATTAGTTAATTATGGATTAACTTAACACGGGGTTTGATTCGTAAGGTGGAATTCTGACCCATACAATATTATCAGCTCCGACTTCTACTGATGAACTCCAGCTTTCCCTCCAAGCCAAAGAACCTAAAACCCTTAAAACCCATGCCCCCTTTTCTTATCTCATATTCTAACATCAAATTCACTCAATTCCATATGTGATAAAATCTCAAAAAATTCTACTCCAAAAGCCTCAAAATTTATACCCCTCCTACATGTTAACATTATCAAGAATGAAATCACTACTTTTCCCAGTACTTTCAAGACCCCCAACAGGTCCTTTATCGTTCTGTTTTCATTTTCAAGAACCCATTTTTCTATGCAGAACATATGGTGTTCTTAGTACTTTCAAAAACCAGCCTATTTCTGTTCAAACAATAAACCCCATGAATAAAGTTTCTTCCTTTAGCTGTTCTACTGTGCCAAACCATAATCAAATTCGGGTCTTGCATACTGAGGTCTCGGGTTCGGATTCGGGTGAAGTTCATGTGATTGTGGGTCCCATGTTTGCTGGAAAAACTACTACTCTTTTGAAGAGGATAAAGTCTGAAAGCAGCAATGGCAGGTTAGGATTCTCCATAGGTTTCTAATTTAGTTTTTATCTAAATTTTATAGGTGATAAATGCTTTGCATATTTTAAAGTTTATTGTTTTCTCTTGGAAAATAACACTTTATAGTTGCGGTAAAAACAATAGCCAAAAAAATATATAAAATTTATATACTCTTTTGTATACATATATATTCTGTATGTTATATACAAATATTAAACAGGTTTTATACACTTTTTCGGCTACCGATGTAAATAGTTTCTAGCCAGAGAGCTAAAAGTGATAATGCACCTTTTCTTTTGGGATTGAAAAACCTCTTCTTTAGCTTTAATATATACTATGAATCTGTTGGAATAGAAAGGGGCAAAGGGCTAATATTTTTTGGCTTCCTCTCATAAGAATCTGTATATCTACTTAGCTACTTACTTCATAGTGTCTTATAATTCACACGAGTTTTTGCTGAACTTATAGAAGTAGGGCTTTTGACTACTATGGTAAGACCTTGTTGGACCATATATACTTTAAAATGAAACACAGACTATGAATTATAATGCATCGAAAGCCAATGGTTGTAAGATTTTTGGGTCGTGCCTCAGAATTGGTTTTGGTTGATACTTTTGATAGCTTAATGTGGCATGGGGAGAATTTCGTAGTATTGAGTGACATGATAAAGCACCTTTTCAGCAGTGCGTTGTCATGCTGTCGGATTTTTCTCCAAGACCAGGTTTTTGGGTGATCATTTATTTGGTTGAACCGATAGCTGTAGAGATATCTTTATGCGTTTAAGGACAACGTTGGGAAAGCATTTTAACACCCGAGTCCCGACTTAGTCATTTATATCATTTTCAGCGAGGGTGCTCTTTTCTTTGTATGCTTTCACAGTTGTTGTTCATATAAGCAAGTTGTTGGAACTTATAGAACAATCAAGTTGGTGCAGCACTAAATTTTCGTTGCTCCAAGGTGCCAGCTTTTTGTTCTGCTATGTGGACTTGGTTTCTTTGCAGTTCTTAGATGTTGAAAGCTGATGAATTTTGCCTGTTACTCAACCTTTCGTTTCTCATTGAATGATTGAGCCTTTTGTTTTTCTTTCTAATTTATTGTTCTACACTCGGTTTTTTGCTGTTTCCTTTACTTTCTTCCCTGGGGTGTCGAAATCTTTGGCCCTCTCATGTAGAGGAAGTAAAAGTTGGACCATGTTATTCTGATGGTATTTGAATTTGAAATCATGGTTGGTAATATTCCCAGTTTTCAGGGCAATGGTGTAAAGAACTCCCTCTATTTGGATGAGACAATAAAAGGTCTCTGTTTCTCTGGAAGGGTGGCTGAAGCAGTTGGAATATTATGCCGCTCTGGTGTACAGGTGGAGTCAGAAACTTATTCCCTTGTTTTGCAAGAGTGCATTTTCCGGC